GACATTTGTATACATTGCAAAGTGATCACCATAATAGCCCTGATTAGCACCCATCGCTGTCCGTGGCTCCTCCAAAGTTAAGTGGGCTGTGGGCTCACTGAGGCCCTGGAGCAGGCTCTGCCCTTCCCATGTAGATGTGCTGTCCCGTCTGTGAGGCTGATGAACTAAAGTCATGAACCAGCAAAACTATTCAGAATTGTCTTTGGCTGTCCTTCTGAATCAAGGACCAAACTAAATTGTTTGGACTGGAATGGGTGCCCTGAGGACAATGGGAAGCCACCCCGTGGGTGGAAAAGTTACTGGAAAAAAAAAAAAACGGCACTTAAGTCTTGTTGGAAAAGACCTTCTCCTTACCAGACTTACTGGCAGCACATCAAGGTGTTGAGTCTTGAATTCAATTCCAATTGAGAAACATATGTCACCTTCCAGAAGCACAGACTTGTGACTGGCATGTGAAGTGTATGTGGTGGGGGTGGGGAACAGTCTGGGTAGACAGTGTCAGGATTGAGTTCAAGTGTATGACACCCAGCTGGTGTCACAGAAAGTTGCTCAGTGTGGGGGATAGAACTTCCATGAATATGGTGAGCAGAAGTGTTTTGTGTGAGACGTAAGAGACTCAGGGTGGGGAGACTCACAGCAGGGCTCTGAGCAACTGAGTATAGGTTGGAGCTTCCGACAGCCCCCTCCTTGGCTTTGATTAATTCGCAAGAGCAGCTCACAGGGTTCGTGGGTGAGCAGCAGCTTCTTGGCAAGCATTGTCATGTGCAATTTAATGGAAGAATCCAAAGAGGTTTCCGATCCCCGATCCCCGATCCCCGGGGGAGAGGGGTTCTCCACAGTGATCGCTGGGACTGCGGAAGCCAGAGCCAAGCTTGACGGCCTGGCCCCCTTGCTGCTTCAGTCTGCAGTCTGGAACTGGCGACCGCGTGTTCTGGGTAGAACAGCTACTCCTGAAGCCGGGCCCCAGCGTCTAGCAGGGAGCAGGACTGGCATTCTCTTGACAGGGAGGCTGATGTCCTCGTGGACCGAGTCCCACCACCCAACAGACATTCTACGACGACTGCAGACAGCACTGTCAGCCACACCGTGGTGGTAACACGCATTTAGGGAAAGTGGCCCAGAAAGGAGCCGAGAAGAAAGTGGCTGATCTGTTTTCTGAGAGAAGCTGGCAAAGCGTGAAAGAACCAGCTACGCTCACCATGAGGCACACTGGGAAGACACTCGTCACAGGGACTCAGTGAGCCAAAACTGCATCTTGTGGGCCCAAGGGCCATGTTTCTGAAGTGAGTCTTACTGCAGAAAGATACGATGGCATTTAGAACATTCGCGCTAATTACTGAGAGCGTTCTAGGCAACAACTGCCTGACCAACATCCGTGGTCAAAAACGGCAAGCCGAACGTTAAAAAGTCCACGGGCAAGGAATGCGGGAGAGGGCGTGGAGGGGAGGGAGCCCTCCGACCGGGTTGCTGGGAATGTGGTTTGGTGCAGCTGCTACAGAGGACGGTGTAGAGATGCCTTGGAAAACTAAGAACAGACTTGCCACGTGATCTGGCAGACCCACTTCTGGGCATGCGTCTGGAGGGAATCTGATTTGAGGGGATGCATGCACCCCAGTGTTCATAGAAGCAGTATTTACAGTAGCCGGGACAGGGAGGCAACCTGAATGTCTGTCAATGGATGACAAGATGAGGAAGTTGCGGCGTATCTGTGCACTGGAATGCTACTCAGCCATAAAAAGGGTAGAATGGTGTGGTTTGCCATGTGCATGGACTTCGAGGTTGTGGTTCTGGGTGGGATGCACCAGAGAGAGAAAGGGGAACACTGTGTGATGTCACATGCAGAATCTAGAGGGGAGAAACAAATGAACTTATTTGCAGGGCAGGGGCAGACTCACAGACATAGAGGGCAGACTTGTGGTTGTCAGGGTAGTGGGTGGTGGGGAAGGAAGGGGATAGATTGTGAGTCTGAGATTTGCAGATACTAACTACTATGTATAAAGTGGATAAGCAGCCGGTTTGTACTGTGTAGCACAGGGAACTGTATTCAGCATCTTTTAGCCTGTGGTGACAGAGAGTGTGGGGGGGATGTATGTGTGTTTACGTGTGGCTGGGACATTGTGCTGTGCACTGGAGACTGACGCAGTGTGGTAGACTGACTACTTCAATTTAAAAAATGGGGGGAAAACTGGCAGGCATGACTGATGCTCACGTTGACTTCACGACCGTGGATGCTCGCCTGTCCATCTAGTCGTTGTAGGACTGTCATGCCCTCTGCTGCTGTGACAGTCACCATGCACTGAGTGCTGTAAAACAGCACGATTTTACTCTCTTACAGATCTGGAAGCCGGCGGTCTGAAATGGGTGTCATCTGGTAAAACCAAGGTGTTGGCAGGACCCTGTTTCCTTCTGGAGACTCTATGGGGTGAATCCATTTTTTGGCCTCTTCCGGCTTCTGGAGGCTGGATGTGTTCTTTGGCTTGTGGCTCCTTCCTTGCACCCCCCAGACCTCTGCTTCCATCATCACATCTCCTTCTCTGACTTGCCTGCTGCCCTATTTAAGGACCCCGGTGATTACACTGGGCCCACCCAGGTTTTCCAGGATAAATTCCCCATCTCCAGTTCTTTAACTAAATGACACTAGCCATGTTTCTTTAGCCATGTAAGGTACCACAGCCACAGGTCCCGGGGGTAAGGACGTGGCTGTCTTTGGGGGCAATCCTTTCATCACAGTAGATTTCTTTTTAAAAGCATCAGCTGGTTCAGAAGACCTCTTATACTCACTCCTAGTCATCTGCCAACCCAGAAGATGGTGATAGAAATCATGGCCAGAGAGGTGCAGAAAAATAAATGTCTTGAAAGAAGTAGTAAATAAGATGATCCCAGGCGGCACTGGGAAAGACCTGAGAGAGGCTTGCCAGTCTCCTCATCCATTCCACGACGCGCCTGCTCTGAAAACATGTAGCCAGGGATCAGGTTCTTGTCTCATCACAGAAAGAATTTAGGGAACAGACACGGATCTCAAGAAAGTAAAGTGAGGATTTAGTAAGTGTCAGATAGTACACTCTCAAGGAGAGAGCGGGCAGACTCAGGTGAGCAGCTGCCCTGAGTTTCCTTGGCCAAGTTGGTTATACAGGGTGTAAAAATGAATGGGCGGAATATCCACTGCAGAGAGCAGGGTTTGGGGGTCTTACTCCCTAATTTCCATCCCAGCTCCACCTTCCTGAGGGCAGGAGGGATCTCTGTCCTTACTCAGTCTGGATGGGGAGTGTCCTGGCGTCGGTGCATGATGGGCACTTCTGATCTGCAAGGCTAATTTTATTGAAATGAGGGCATGATGAGCAAAAGGTTACATTTGGACACTGGAGATTCCTATCTTTCCCCACCTTCTTCAGCCTCTGGGCCACTTGTCACCATGGAACGTGTGATTTTTATCAGCCCAGAGATTCCTGCTTTTGTCTGCCCAGGGGTGCCTGTTGCTTACGTGATGTATGGCTTCCTGCATTTTGTGCCCCTCCTTTTTTGCCCAATTCCTGCCATTTGGCTTGTGTCCCCCTTTCTCTGCTCATATCTAGCTATCTGCCTGCTCTAACAAAAGCACAACTTTGAGCTGGGAAAAACTAATGGAGCTTCACGGTGCAGACAGTTCTGGAAAATGGGATCTGAAGTTGAATGAATTGACGGATATGAGCCCCTACCCCCCAATCTATTTAAAGTAATAAATAGTAATAAATAAAAAGTCTTAAGAGTGACCAAAAAAGTGACAAAAAAAAAAGAGGTATCTTTCATCCATTTAATCTCCAAGCCCTCAAGACTCTCGAATTTGGGGTGACTTCACAAGTCTCACAGGTTAATTATCAGCTTCCTTGCCTGTGAGCATTTGGGCTGTTTCTGCAGTGAGTCTAGGCAGCACTGGAACGTGTTGTTCATTGTGGGGGGGGCAGGTGCTGACCCCAGGATGCGGCTTCAAGTGCAAGGAGGTGATTCAGAAGGGAATGAAGCCCTGGCAGGGAAGTGGGAGGAGGAGCAAGGAACGGAGACAAGCAACAGACTTTGTCAGCCAGTGAGACGCTGCTGCCTGTGACAAGATAAGTGTCAGGCTGATTCCTCCTGGGGTACGGGGTGGCAGGGATCAGATCTGATGACCGTCTGCCCCAGGCGCTATCATTCCTTGGTGTTTCCAGGCAACTTAGCAACAGGAAAAGGACTCCAGAGGCAAGAGAAAGCCCTCAGGCCACAAACTGTAGATCAGAGGTTCAAGGTGAAGATGTGACGGCTGGGGTAGGGGGACTGTGAACCTCTACAGAACGTCTTTACAACCCCTGGAAAGGCTTCACAAAGGGCTCTTCCTTCCCCTGTGTCGCAGCTGTGCGCTATCCTTAAACCAGGGAGAACCAGACCCAGGCGGGCATGACCGGCTAGAACGGAAAAGGATGATTAAGAGACACCAAGTTCCACGGTTTTTGTGTCGCAAACATTCCACTGAAGTCTGCATTTTGGAGTATTTTGTGAAATGAGGAACACTGACATGACACGGAATGAAGCAATGCATTTTGAAAAGAAACTGTCAAGTAATACAAAGAGGAAGGACTAGTAAGCATAAATTTTCACTTTGTGGACATCCTTGTCATCACACTCCCTCTGTTTGTTGTAGTAATAGTAAGTATTGTCCCTTCTCTGAAGTTTCTTCACGTAGCCTGTCTCTGGCCAACGATCTACCTGTGTATCAAAAACCAGAATACAAATACTGTAAGACCGGTTTTACTTTTATGTAATATTTTACTATCAAACAGTTAAAAGTACAACCACATCAAAAAATTAAAGTAGAAATTAAATTTAAAAATACTTGGTCTCTTAGAGACATCTACACACACACACACACACACACCACACTAGGTTGCAACCTTATCCTGCCAAACAACAGTTTCAGTGCTTTTTCTGAGATCCCAATTTCTAGAATTTCTACTCTGTGACCAAGATAAACCATTCAAAGTCAACTTTATTCTTCTTATGGTTACAAACGATTTTAAGCCTTATTACTTACTAAATTCTAAAAATAATACCCAAGGAGGAACTCGGCCCAGGGCTCATTCTGAAAACACCTACTACTGGTGGTTGATGCCACAGGAGTGACGGAAGGAAGCAGCTAGGCTAGAGATACCTAAAGGTGCGTATGTATTTTCTCAAGTCTGTATTTCAAGTTCATACCTTGAAGCTCAATTTATGATGGAAACTCAAGGTCATGAATACATGCCTCAGCAATCTCTTCTTACCTTCTCCCCACTAGTCCTTCTCCTGCCATATTGGTTTGCTTACATGATCGTTTGGCTTGATCTAGTTTGGACATTCTCCTCCGATTCATGAATTATACCTTTTTGATCAGGTCACTGCATCGCTGCTGTGGTTAGGTATGTTTCTTCTGGATTTTGTGAGAGGTACTCTACCACTGCCAACAACCTACTGTTCAGACTTTGTATTCATGCCATGAACATCAGTCAAGTCCTGTTCTTTGACACCATTCCTACGGGCAGCTCTGCATCCTCCAACTCCCCACTGATAAATCAAAAGCTTCCAAGCTGGACTATGAAAATGCCATGAATACAAAAGAATACACATCCTTTATTTTCTAACAACACACTTGCTCTTTCTTCTGTCGCCTCCTTTGTTTAGGAATTAGCAAAAACGGATAGTGGCATATCTGACAGACCTCAGCAGGCTCGCCGACATGTGTGTCAGGGAAAGAAGCGATGCTTTCCATCCCTTAGGTCGAACCTGCCTCCTTTTGCTTCCATTACCCTCGGCAGAGAGAAGATACTCTCAGGAAACCATGACCACTGTCTTCCTCTTGGTGCCAACAGCAGGCTCTTTCACTTACTCGGGCCCCCAAAACCACTTCAGTCAGTGAAGAAACTGTACACCTGCTGCTTTTTCTAGGGGACTTACAGCCACTTAATGTGTGTGTGTGTGTGTGTGTGTGTGTGTGTGTGTGAGTGAGCCGGGGGTGGAGGGCTCCAAACATCACCCTCTAGACTTTTTTCTTTTTATAACCCCCTTTGCTGTTTCATAATTTTTCCTTCTTGGCTTTCTACTCCATCACTCCCATCCAGCTGAGGAAACCTTCTTTCCTTAGAGAATGGTGGAAGGGGGATACGGTCCTCAAGCTGAGTCTCCTCAGGCAGGGAGGTCAGTAAGCACTAACAGCGTCTGTAAGAACACATGTTTCAGGTAAGGACAAAGAATGTCGCTCAGACCCTTCAGGCCACTGCCCATCAAGGCAAGCCTTCAGCTATCATTCTGTCCCTCCTATGAAGTTCACAGAAAATGCCTCTGGGGGCATAAAGCCTTTTCGGAGGATTGTCCCCAAAGGAAGCAATTTTATCTTCTTTCATTTTTTTGGCATCTATTTTCACTTGCCTATGGTTTTACTGTTCTTGTCCTTTTTAATCTTTTCCACTCCAATATGTAAGAATAATAAAAGCTATCATTCACCAAACACCATTCATTCACCTGACAAATGACTGTTGAGCAAGACAATATCAGGCACTTTCAACACATTCTTTCATTTAATTCCTATGACAATTTTCTAAAGTAGGCACTGTTGAGCTCAGTGAGGGTTACAAAACTTGTTCAGGGTTACCCAGCCAAGGAAGGGAGCCAGGATGCAAAGCCTGGGAAGACTGACTTCAAATCCTGTACTCTTCCCAGTGGCCCACTAAATTTCTTGAGGTCAGGCACCTGCTTATGTATTTATCTTCTTAAAGCACCTGGCAAAGAAATTTGGATGTGGTAGGAACCCAGTAAATATGCACAGAAATAAAAAGCAAAATGTCTCTAATTATCAAGTCATACAGTGGATAAGGTTGCTCTTCCCTTCATT